GAGAGAGCCCCAACTCTTGTCAACGGCGTTGAACTGATCGATTTGAATTCGCATCAACACTGGCCTGAACGGCTGCGATATTCTCTTCACTACGGGCATTTCTTTGTCTCACAGGCACAGCAGTATCGTGGAGAGTGAATTCACTTTCAAATTTTGTTATTAGGTCTTTACCTATGAAATTGCCTTTCTTCAGTACTGGTCATTTCAAATAAAAAAAAGTTTGTAATGGCTCTGTATTCTAAATTCAAATTAATTTTGTTTTAAAACCATGACATTCTATTTACAAACTCAGTCTTTTGTTTTTTGATTAGCGTTGTATTTTCATTACATTTGAACATTTTTCGTTATAATGGATACTTTAAAAATTCGTGTAATTATGGAATATGAGTTCCGTCGTGGCACCAACGCGACACAAACGGCACGTAACATCAAAAACGTTTACGGAGAGAACTGTACAAACGAACGCACAACCCGTTATTGGTTTTCCCGGTTCCGTTCTGGAAATTTTGACTTGAAAAATGAAGCTCGTGGTCGTCCGGAGACTTTGGTTAACAATAATGAATTAAAGGCGATTGTGGAAGCTGACGAAACTCAATCTACAGCTGAGCTAGCAGCAGCTTTTAATGTAGCTTTTAAGACTTTTCATGAACTATTTTAATATGTTCGATAAATGAAATCTTTATTTCTAAAAAAAACACACAGGTAAGGTAGGTCATAAATAACACACAGGTTTTATTTTTTACAGTGACATTGTCAAATTTGATGCTCGGCGGTGATTTGAGGTTAGCTTTTAAAGGTAGCAGGAAGGTTTTGTTGGGTGCAAAAATTAAGCGATTACGTTCACCCCAATGAGATATCAAGTTCAAACATCTATTAGCTAATCTCTCAAGCCCCGCCCTGGTATCAGATTCCACTAGTAATGAACCGTCATCAGCATACGCATTCAGAGTACATTCGTATGATATTGGTATCGTAAGAAAATCGGCGAAGCCGATTTTCCGAAGTATGGACCTAGCACTAATCCCTAAGGACATCCCATTGTAAGCGCCTTCGTCACAGAATGATGACCAACTATTAGTATAGTTGTACCATGTGAAAAATACTAAGAGATAAGGGAATAAATATTTTTAAAGCACCCTTGTGACTTTATTTTCAGCACCAGCATGGGCCACCATGCGTTGTCGAAGGCGCCAGATATATCTAAGAAAATAGCCAACGCGCATTGAAATTCTGACTCTGTGACAAACTTCCTAACCGAAATAACCGCATCTATTGTCGATTTCCCCAACGTAAATCCAAATCGTCTATCATGAAATTTAACTCCACCCTGCACTAGTCGGGGCACAACAAGACGTTCTAAAAGCTTTCCTAACGATGGTAACAATGTGATTGGTCGGTAGGATTTAGGATCATCCGGCGGCTTGTCGCCGCTTTTTGGCATTATACTCGTCCGAATATACACCGCACCGCACCGCCAAATACGAGGAAATATTCAGTCAAAATCATGTAACCCGAAAGTATATAAGCTTTTTTATCATTTTGTTTGATGTTTTATCATTGTCCGAAGCCTTGTTTAGCGCCAAGAATCTAACGATACTGAGAAATTCGTCAGACATTGGAGACAGTGGTGGTTCGATGGCCCACTGCCTGATCTGTTCGTGATGATCAGTGTCATTTTAAAAGGTTTAAAAGGTTTCTTTCTGCTGTTTGTTGTACTCCTGTGGTGCATCTGTTGTTAATTTTGATGTTCTGTATTTATGCAAGGTCGATTGATCTATTTTCCTAAAATTCGTGATACAAAGGTGACCACGGGCCCTCTCTATCGACTTTATCAACAAGTTTCTGAATTAAGTTTCCCTTGGATTGTTCCATAGCAGCTCTGTAGTGGGACCTGGCAACTCTTAAGAGCAATGAGAGCATTATTGTACAAATGTCCTGTAACGTTATGCTTTTTAATAGCGTTTAATTTCCTAGGAGCTTTCCGGTAGCTTCTACGTAGTTCGGCTAATTTATCATTCCACCAATCATATCTACGAGTATTAGTGATAGATCTGCGACCAATAGACACATCAGCGCAGTATGTAAAAGTTTCTGATAGTATTTCGGCAATTTCCTCAGCTGATAGACTACTGCGACTGAAGTCTTTGGCATGAGTTGCAAAGAGTGAACCAAACAAAGCCCAGTTCGCACCTTTAGCTTTATATCTAAAATTATAGGGAGCTTTTTGCCCTTGGTATGAATTCGTACACGATCAAGCGGTGATCACTACAGGATGCGTCCGGGAGGACACGCCATCCGGATATCGAGACGTCGCCGCGCATAAGCGTCACGTCAATAGAAGACTCACCCATTGGGTTGCAAAAAGTTGGTGGTGCATCGGGGGTATTGTAAATAGTAATATTCATTTCCGCAATGAAATCTTCAACCGCACAACGTCGAACCGTATCGGCTGAACGCAACTTGCCATACCATAAGGTAGATGACGCATTGAAATCAGCGCCAATAGTAATTTTATGTCCCACGAGAGACTGCAAGACGTAACGTAAGCTACACCGCTCGCAGTGAGGATCAATAGGATGTGAACATTGAAAATAGCAGCTCGCTACGTAAACCTGTAGTAGAGGATGTGATGTCAGCAACGGCGCAGTGTGATCATGAGATTACGCAAAGATGCTACCGTAGAATTAGAACTTGCATATATCCCAGCCTGCAAACGGCAGTCTAGCTGTACTACATTACTACCCAAGCGAGCGCTCTGATATTGTTCTTGTATAAGAGCAATGTCTAACTTTGGTTCTAAAATTAAACGGTCTAATTCTGATGTGGCTATTTTATCGTTATGAAGATTTAACTGGCCTATTGAAATATTATCCATTACTTAGTAAGTTACTCTATAAACTATTCAGTAATTGGTATTTAAGATTAGCTGCTCTATTTTTAATTTATATGTAGGACAGTCGTGTGAGCCGCATCGCTGGTCAGATGGTTTTTTGGACCGCCTGCACTGAGCGCACGTTGGCTTAAAATATGATGTGTCTTTATCTGGACAAGCTCGAGTTTTGTGTCCGGCGGCGCAATTAGCACAAGCAGGAGTTTTAATGTTGCAAAACTTTTGTACGTAACCGAATTGTTGACAATTTAAACAACGAACTTCTTCTATATTGTCTATGAATCTATAAATAGCAAAGTCTATATAAAGTTTATCTTTTTTGTTGGCTAGATGTTGCCGAACTGCTGCCTCTAATTCTAAGCCTATCCATTGACGCCCATTTTCTAGTTTACCATGCCTAACAATTTTGGTTGAATTAAGAAAGTCATCCTCACTTAATTTTAATTCGTCCTTGATATTCTGACGATAAAAGGCTGTTAGGAAGGTACGATCCTCCATAGAACCGGGTACGTCTTTTACAATTACACGGGGCTTTCGGCCTTTCGGTTTTTTTAATCGTAACCCTACTGACTTAATAACATCTACAGATTCCAGTTTTTTAAACTGCCTTTCCTTAGCTACACGTAACACGACGCCTTACTTAGCGTTTTTTTTAACACCTACAATTTGGAAACCCTCATCGCCAGGCCTTCATGAGAGCCTGTTTCGTTGCTAACTAGGTCGAATAGTCCGCTGAGTGTTCCGTAGTGGGATATGCAATAACACAGCACCTAGGAAAGCGCGCATCAGTGGGTACCGGCAGGGGGCAGATTTAGGTGGCAAGCGAAGCTTAAGTTTGTCCGCGTATGTTTCACTCGATTGTTAAGTTGCAATACCCTCAATTTGACGCTTAAAATTCGCTAATTTCGTTTCGTTCCTAGAGGATTTTATTGCTAATAATGATACCAGTAATATCCAGAATCGCTGTTTTATTACCTACGTTCATTCGTGATCCTTGATCATTCACCAATTCGTTAATTTTTGACAAATAATCGGTTACCTGTGACACTAACTCGCAGTAATTATACTCCCCACAGCTATCACGACCACTAAGAGACAAAACATTCCCACTTAAAGTATTAATGCGTTTACATCTTTTATCTTTCGGCGAGGAATTCGTAGGTGACATTTCGCTAAATAACCTTTTCCCGGTTGGTGTTAGAAATTTACTCGTACCGCCGGGATCCGGTAATTCCCTAACAACCGCCATAGCAGCAAAGACACACCAAACAACAATTTCAAAAAGAACAAGCTTAAAAATAAACAAAACGCAAAGAAAAATCAATACAAACAAAGGATACCTCCTACCTACTTGTAGAAAGAAAATAAATTTACCTACAAATAGCCGTAATAAAATAATATAGCGCTATATTTCTATTTAAAATCAGTAATAACTTACTGATATTCTTTAAACACACTATACGCAACCTTCAGCCGCTCGCAAATCGGGAACTAGTTGCAGAAAAACACAGAAAACAATAATTAAATGATTAGCATACGAAGTCACACGTGAGTCGCACAGTGCCGCGAAGGGAAGTGTGTGTATTTGAAGACCTGTAGAAGCTAGTCCCACCGCTGAAAGTTAAGACATTATAAAACTTTCATTCATTCTATTACCTAATCTTTAATAGGTCCTCATGACACTCGAGTAAATCCACATTTAGCATCGTGGGCTCCCCTATGGTAGCTAACAACTTCATGAAATCAATTACAGAACCTGTCGTCAACTACTACTGTTTCTTGACTAGTCGTAAGACATTTTGCAAATTCGACAGAATTATTTGCGTGTAGAGCTCATTAGATTCAACAATTATCTAGAAAATTTGATTCAATCGGTGGTAGGACATCGGCTATAAATTTGATCCAATATCTGGTCATCGGCCAAATAACTATCCTTGTCATCTTTTACATATGTAGTTGGAACTCATGGACGAACGATTTGGTACTTTTTATCTTGCTCCGGTATTAAAGTTGTGTGTTTTGTGTTTGAGTTTTCTCAACTATAATATTATTACATAACCACAGCACACTGGTCAGACGAGCGTAAGACTTAACTTATTCTTAAGGCAAAATGGTAAATTGAAACCAAAGGCGGAACTCAACACCGGAATTGTATGTGTCGGCTTTACTGAAAAGAGGTCAGGCGTGGACCAGCTAGACTGTTGTCATTACCTACATACTCGTAACGTGATTAAACTATTCATGTGGTCACTGTTCATTCAAGCATAAAAGCTTTAAAGTCTTCAACAGTTTTTTCTACAAGTGTACCTATAAGTACTCGTAATATAGCCCAACACACACATACTTTTTCGATATACTTCCTTTAACATTGCAAAATTAGCATTTCTATGAATTTTATGTGTAGTTTCTCTGCGAGTTCCGGCAAAGTATTGGATTGGTTTTTCTTATTTAACGCATAGGAAATGTAACATGATTCTGAACTCTGTGTCGTTTTGGTAATGTTATTTTTAGTAAATACGGGCGAGGTCGGCTTATTAAGTGGGTGCGTGTGGGGTTGGGGGTTTAACTTCGAGACGCGAAGGTCGAAAAGGCGCACGTTTACAATATCCGGTACGGATCCGCAATATTGCCCTATATGGATTTAGGACATAAAATTCAATGATTATAATATAACATTAAGGGCCATATCGAAATATTATCTTTCATGATTATGTTTTAGTAAAAAATAGGCATTCATATTTTATTTTACATTGTAGCTTTAGATTGGGGTTTGCCTCAGGTGTTTTGTAGGATATATTAAACCTCTTCTCAGTAAATGTAGTAGTACAACAAAGTTTATTACGCATGTCCTACCGCTAATGGGTTTTTGCGTGTATCGTTCATGTTTGTGCGTGTACGTATAATATTTCGTCTAATTTTATAAGACTTGAAAACTCATTACATTTTGGTGAAAAATAATTTACCGTAAAATTAAATGATAGTGATGAAATATTTTAAAATTATATTGTATTTTTTCAGGTAATCATGAGGATCAAAACAGACAACGGTAACGTCACTGTGCTAAACGAATTGTCGGTTAAAAACCCTGATAACAGGCGTTGGACGAATTCTATCAACACCGAATCTCATACAACAGATTATTCAGAAGTGACTAATTTTAACACTATTCTCGACTCCAGAAGGTCTTCGAATACATTAGAAAATTATACGGGAACAGAAACTATTTCTAAGAATGATGCGCCAGTCTTGAGTACGAAACTGGTATGCAACCGACAGTATCGAATCAACTCGAGAAACATAAATACTGTATCGTTGTGCGATAATACTGAGACGACCAATCTCGAAGATTTGAAGGAACCTGACCGAGTTTCTGGTGAAAACTATTTAGGTACATGTATTTACGTATATTAATCGAGATAACATTACACTGTTCAATTTAATATTTTGAAACCTGAATCGTAAAATTGTGTTCACTCCTCCTCAATACTTTTAAAGGGAAGAAAAAATTTTGAATAATGAAAGATTTAATTTCGTCAATATGATATGTGGAATATAAAGCTATTTAAAATTACTGCTTTCTAGTTCTGGCAGTCTCTAAGCTAGACCGCGGACGGTCCAATCGACATACAAATGGACATCAAACATCGTATTGTATGGCTACGGCCATTGTTTGCCGTATTGTATGTACTACATTTACATAAAGCTACATAGATACGAGTATTATATTATGTTTAACATATACGCACACATATACGCAAATACTTAAAATAGTTTCATACATTTAGCTTATTTCCGCTCTTTTAATAATAATATATAATCTACTGTAGGAGTTTTCAGTCACGTTGAACAGCCGATGTTGACGAACTAGAATGGTTGATAAATAATTAGGTACTCGTTGTTTTTCCTGGTTTGTACTATAAATATGTAGACTAATATCAACACCAACCGAAGCATTATTAGGCTGAGGAGCATTATTAGGAAAAATGGGCCTATTTGGACATACTTAAAAAAGTAACTACTTACGCTTATTAAACATGTTTTAATAAAGGTGTGCGGATGCAAGCGTCCAAAATTGACATTATCAATTGCTAAGTATCGGGGAAACCATTGATGAAAGATTATTATATACGTAATCTTTTAACTGTACAAAAATGTAACAAAACATTTGATTTACTTTTCAGAAAATACTAATGTATACACCGATACAACACCTCTCGACGAAGAAAGAGTATTTGATCATTCTGAGGCAGATGAGATGTCTGATAACAGTACAAATCCTGTACCGAGGGGTATAGTGAATCCAAATTATCCTGGCTTTCAACATTTAGCGCACACATTACAGGTAAAGTTTCACTTAGAGAAAGAAACCTTCGAAGTGTTTAAACTTTACTCATTACAGCGACACAAGGGAAGCCCCAGTTGTTACAAAATACAGCGGGTAGGGAGTCGTTCATACCGGTTTATTTTGTTTTGCGACAGTTTCAGTTAAAGTAAACTGTAAATCATTTGGTTTTTTTACAGGATTATTCTTCAAACATTGAAAATTTTTATCATTCAGAAAATGAAATGACAGATGATGACGTTGACGTAGAAATTACTGATCTAGCATATGACCCTGATTCTTATCAAAATGAGGTTAACGACGGCAAACAAGTTATTAATAACAATAACGTACAGAAAGATATAATAAAAACGCCACTGTCATCTCAAAATAAATGGCATTTACAAACTAAAATTTTAGATAGTCAACAAAAAGAAATACCAGATCTTATAAAAACTGTGTCTCAAAATAACAATAATAACAATGACACTTTCAAGTATGATATCACATGTACAGATGCAGATATAGAAAACAATTTTCACACAAAAGATATTATTGGCGATTTTAATAAAGAAGTTGAAGATGAAATCAAACAATTATTGAATTATAATATTAATATACAAGTTGATTTAGAGGAATTACGAAAGGATATAAAAGATACTTTTACAAAACCGATTGAAAATACGATAAACAATATAAGCGACGTTGTTAATCACGTCATAAAGAAATTAGTGAAAACACAAAGCGAATTTACTAATGAAAGCAATGAAATAAAAAATGATCTCATAGAAAAAGAAAAAGAAAAAGTCGACCAAGAAATCAATAAAATAAATAAGGAAAATGAGAAAAATACTAGAACAGAAATGAGTCTAAGCAGGCCTACGTTTTTAATAATTGACAATAACACCAATGGCAAAATAACAGACGCTTTTCTTTCAGACGGAAAGGATGAGATAAATATTAATGAATATAATACAGAAAAATTGAGCCTCAACGTCGAAAACACTATTAAACAACTAAGCACTGAATTGCGAAAAATTATTCCAAAATTAGATGAAATGCGAGAACGTGATAAATTCTGGACCGACTGCAAACGTTCAGTGGTCATAGATGGTAATTCTAACGAAATACCCAATACTTCGAAAAATTATAGTATAAGTACTAGCCATACTCAAGACAAATCCGTTATAGGCAGAACAACTAAGAAAAATGATAATCACCTTAGTGGGACACATTATGCCATAAATTCTACAAAGTAAGTATGCTCACACATACACAAGTATAAAAAATGTAATGTATTTTTTGTGTGAGGTGTAGTAGGTTCAATTATAAATAACTAGCGATCCGCCCCAGCTTCGCAAAGGTGCAACTTAGATACTACTAATGGGGTGTTAGTGTAGAGTAATTAATTATACTATTATTGTAATAAGACTACACTACAGGCAATCTTTATTTAAAAACCCGATCCGCTCTGGCCTGCCACAGCCGCCCAGGACGGATGTACGGCCCGAACGAACGCCTTGCCCAGCATTTTAAATCTCTGATATCTACTAACATATCCATTGTAATTGTATCCTGTAAGGGTTATTTGGATCCACATTAAATGCACAACTTATCTAAAGTATATAATTTGATAACAAATAATACTGTATCTTTGAAAATAGCTTCGTAAATTACCCTTTTTTTTTGTAATATGTTAAAGAAATGAAAAAGAGGGTAATTGTGGGCTATCCTTAGGAGTAAGACATAATATATCATAGCTGACTTTTTTGTAGCACTTTATTTTGATCTATCTCGTAAGGTTTAGCCAGCCTTTGCAATGTAAGCGAACAAAAATATGTTTTTACGATTTCACATTACAAATCTTTAAAATTCTCGGATTACCTCTACTACTTTTATATGTATAATAGACATTTATTATACATACATATAAACCCGTATCTTATCCCGTCTCTCTCTCTATTGGTAATAACCGCATTAAAATCCGTAGTTTTAAAGATCTAAGCGTAGGTACAAGATCTAAAAGCAAATTCATTTTAGGCTAGGGACGATTAGAAAAAATTTCTTTTTGACCAATTTCAGTCCATTACCTCATACAGCCAATAGCTAATGGGAGTAAAGTTGAAAATAAATTTAACAGAGTATGTATTACGCATACAAAACAAGGAGGGACGTCGTGTAAAACAGTGAAGTTTCTTGTATACACGTAATTTAGTAGGAAAATCGTGAATATGAAAACATTGAAACGTTGCGTGTTGTCTCAGTGTCATTATTATAAGAGTATGTATAACACTTATGTATAAAATGTTTTCATACTTCAGTGACGCCAAGACCAAAACAAAACAGAATGAAACGAAATCCTCCAGCCGCAATGCTCAAAAGAAAACATCCGTCCGTAAAAATGATAACGCAAAAGATTTGGAATTGGGTAAGCATTGCATCCTCTTTACTTATTTGATACCAGATAATGCTAGTGGGTTATTTCACTTCAGTATTTATTCGCTGTCTACATATGTTTTTGACTAAATATACATATTTAAATATTATGTCAATTACAGGTATATCTTAGTTGTTGTGCATAATATAATAACTATTTCAAAATAGTCTTGACTACTACTAACTTGATAATACTAACTAGGTGTACATTGAGGAAAATCTACTGACTTTCATTGTAATTAGCGTATAAAATATATTCATTCCCCTGATCTTCCCGCCGTCATATATTGTGTATTCCTCAACAATATTAACTAGAGATTATTATTATACTCGTAAAATAGACTGGACGGGCTTTTAAGTACTTCCGAGTAACATGTATTGTGATGTACGTAGATTTTAAAATTTAGGTCATTTATTAATTCTTATGCGTAGGTATAGTTATACCTACGCATAAGAATTAATAAATGACCTAAATTTTGAAAAAAATATGAATAATAGTTAAGATTAACTATTATTCATAATTTTTTTACTTAAATGTCATATTTTATGCTGAAAATGGTAGAAATGAGACTATACTGAATAATCACTTGTACTAATATTCATGTTCCATTAACTTTACTTGTAACAAACTGACTATATAATCTTAAAAGTTTATTTTAACCTACCCAGATACCCAGTGAACACATGGCCTCGATATGACGTAATAGATAGGTCATAAACAGATCATAGGCTTTTTACATAAATGTGACATAAAAATGACTGTTTTGATGCCTTTGATATAATGTCATATCATTAAAAGATATGATTGGTATGACATAGTACTGGCCTAAAATTTGACTTTCATCTTCAACAGCCTTTAATAGTCCACTGCTGGACTTAAGTCTCTCCTTAGAAAGGAGGTTTCGGCCTACTATACCACGCTGGCCAGACGGGTTGGTATAGGGTTTTCGCCCATCGGGGAGGTGTTCGACGCTAGCTTGGCGTCGGGACGCTTCCCTGAGTGCTGGAAAAGCGGGAAGCTGGTCCTATTGAGGAAGCCGGGACGGCCTGCCGATTTGGTCGCGGCCTATAGGCCCATCGTGCTGCTGGACGAGGCGGGCAAATTGTTTGAGAGGGTTCTTTCTGCCCGCATCGTCCGGCACCTCTGCGAGGTGGGCCCCGATCTGTCGGACGCCCAATTTGGTTTTCGGGCGGGGCGTTCGACAGTCGACGCCGTGTTGCGCCTGAGGGCCGTGACCGAAGAGGCCGTGAGCTGTGGCGGCATGCTGTTGGCGGTGTCATTAGACATCGCCAACGCATTCAATAGTCTGCCATTCAGCTGCATCAGGGAAGCACTCCACTATCATGGGGTGCCAAAGTACCTGAGGCGGCTAGTGGCAGACTATTTAGAGGAGCGTACCGTCGTGTACGAGGACCGAGAAGGTAATCTGAGGTGTCGGCCCATGTCGTGCGGTGTTCCACAGGGGTCTGTTCTTGGACCCCTCTTGTGGAACATAGGGTACGACTGGGCCCTTCGCGCCGATTTCCCCCCAGGGCTGGGTGTAATCTGTTACGCAGACGATACCCTGGTGACAGCCCGGGGGGCAAACTTCCAAGAGGCGGCGCGCCTGGCCACAGGGGGAGTCTCCCTGGTGGTCGGGCGCATTGAGGCGCTGGGCTTACGGGTGGCCCTAGATAAGACGGAGGCCCTGTTATTTCATGGGCCCCGTCATGGTCCACCCCATGGCGCCTCAATCGTGGTCAACTCGGTCCTCGTACCGGTTCGGGCCCAGATGAAATATCTGGGCCTGATCCTCGACGGAAGGTGGCTCTTCGACGAGCACTTCCGACAGCTTGCTCCAAAGCTGGTCGGCGCTGCGTCTGCCCTAGGGCGACTTTTGCCCAATATGGGTGGACCCAGCGTCGCGACAAGACGGCTGTACACGGGGGTTGTCCGGTCAATGGCACTGTACGGTGCACCGGTGTGGGCGGCGGCTCTGACTGCCCAGAATAGGGTACGCCTCTGGCGCCCTCAGAGGGTAATGGCGGTCAGAGCCATACGCGGTTACCGCACCGTTTCGACGGAGGTGGCATGCGCGTTGGCCGGAACTCCCCCGTGGGATTTGGAGGCGGAAGTGCTCGCCGAAGTTTATCGGCGAGTGGCTGACTCCCGGGCGGAGAGCGGATTTCGCCCTCCGCCCGAGGATGTGCGCGAGTGGCGCGAAGCCGCTCGCCGAGCCACGATGGCTCGTTGGTCGTTCCGGCTGGAGACTCCACGCGCTGGCTTCGCCGCCGTGGACGCTCTCCAGCCGGTCATCGCCGAGTGGGCAGGGCGGCAGCACGGGACCCTTTCCTTCCGGCTGACGCAGGTGCTTTCCGGGCACGGTTGCTTCGGAAAGTACCTGCACTCGGTCGCTAGGAGGGAACTGAGTCCCGCCTGCCACCACTGCGACTGCAGTGTGGACTCGGCCCAGCACACGCTGGCGGTCTGCCCCGCATGGGCGGCGCAGCGCCGGGCCCTCACTGCAGTCATCGGGGTGGATCTCTCGCTACCGGCCGTAGTACGCTCCATGGCCGGTAGCGACAGTTGTTTTACCGCGGTCGCCACCTTCTGCGAGGTAGTAATCTCGCGGAAGGAGGCGGCGGAGAGGGCCCGGGAGGACGACCTCCACTCGGACCCGATCCGCCGCCGGCGAACCGGGCGGCGGAGGCCCGCCTATCACAGCCTCATGCCGCCCTGAGTGTGGCCGCGGGTGGACGGGGTGGGTTTCCCCTCCACCCGCATTAGTTTGGCCAGCCGCGAGGGGGCGGCGTCCGCGTGTGCCGGACGTCGCCTAAAGAGAGGAAAAACATTGAGACGGAGCCCGCACCAGGAGCGGGCTGGCGCTAGGAGGGGTCCGGATGTCTTAACAACAGCTGTTCCCGGATCCCTCCTGTTACAGGCGCAGAGTGGCACACCGTGTGGTTTTAGTCGGTCCGAGTCCGACACACCACCCCGCCGCAAACCCCGGAGGGGTGACGGTCCGAGGGGATTTCCACACGTTAAAAAAAAAAAAAAAAAAAAAAAGGGTTTGTTTTAAGTTTTCCTTCTCTCTGCAGTGCTGTTGTTCTGCGTAGTTTTTTCCCTTAGTCGGCTCTTACGATACCCACAGGATGAATAGGGGTGGTGACACTCTGTATTCTTAATCCGTCACCAAATCATAATTGTGACTTAAATATTACGTAAATATTATGTCCTCTCCCTATCATAAGTCCCTACGTCCAGATGACGTACTAATCATTTACCTGACGTCAAGATGACATAAAATTTGAAGTTTACAAAAGGTAACTTCCCGTAGGTTTCTCATAAAAGTAACAACTACACTTGTATTCCGTGCAAACTGTTTGATTAATCACATTGCAGTTTTTGACCGTATCCGGTATTTTTTTTTTCGGTAAAATGTTCTGTTAATTCATTGTGACAACTCAAAAAAATGGAAAATTATTAAAGAAAATGAAATTTAAAAATTAAAAAAAAATTAGCCGGCAGAAAACTCTTAATGATTTTCGACTTAGAATTATTCTCTGAATAGAATATTTCAGTATCCGTTTTAATGTCCCTTACACCCTGTATATTTATGAAAAAAATTATGATCTGTCTATGACCTATCTATGACGTCATATAAAGGTCATGAGTTCACTGGGAATGATGACAATTAGAGGTTATATATACGTTATCTATCTTACGTAAGAATCTTACGCCAGGAAGTGGGAAATTAGGATTTATATTTGACTTATATGACGACATGACGTCGTTCTGACATCAGGTTGACATAATTGTGTTCACTGGGTAGGTATTTTTCAGATCGAAACCAAACTTTGTAAGTTTAAGTAATTTGTATGACAATACTATAATTCGGCATCTTGGAGATAATCTAATGATGGAGACAGGATATGGATAGTATCGCTCTGCAGTAGCTACTAGTAAACCCCTCGAATTTGAACTGTGCACAAACTGTGAACAAATTATCATGTTCATGTACGAGAATAAGGGTGATCACGTATTAGGTATTACACCCCTTTTTTTTTCGTGCGGAAATCCCCTCGGATACCACCTATCGGTGGCATGTCGGACTCGAACCGACTAAAACCGCACGCCGTCTCGGGTACTAATAGCCGGGGAACCAGGTATACCCTAGAAAGGAAGTCCCTGGTGCAGGTATTACACCCCTTGGCATAGGGAATATGCACAACACACCAAATAGTAGTTGTGGTAGTTGTCTTTAAAAAACACATTTATTTTCATTTCAGGGTGTTTTGATGTGTATAACATAGAAACAGCTTTACCAAAATTAGATTTGGACGCCATTGAGAATCACTTAAAAGCGGCAAAAGAAGCAGAGAGGCGGGTAAGTTACACCCTACACTATTTTCAAATGGGCATGGTTAGCACAGTTATTTACTTTGATTACGACCATTGTTATGGTTTCGATATTTATGTAGGATACTTATTACACTGCATGATTTGGTTTCACACATGTTTATTTTAGATCAGGATTATCTTAATCGTGATATACCAAGTGTAAATGATATATTCATTTAAGATAATTGCAAGCGTACCGCAGATGTGTAAACTAACCCTCCTAGTCCTTTTCTTTAACTTGAAATATTATAAAAGAAAAAGCAAATCATTGTTGATACATTTTCGAGAGCTTTATTTGCCCAACTGTTATATGATTGTTAACTGTTGGATTGTACTTAACAAGCGAAGATTATGTTTTTAACACGACTACAACTTTGATCCAGTCAATTTCGTTATTACTTAAAACTCTTATTATCTCATATCTCCTGATATAACAATCAAAAATTTTACATAAAAACATTAAGTTTTTATGTAACATTTTTCCGACAGATCAACCGTGAATTTTTAAGGGTATAACGGTGATTCCGGGGCTCATATGCAAGTTTCGCATTTAAGTGCAGCATTATAATTCCAATCTTAGATCACTATAAACTTTCTATTCTTATTATTAACCATAATAAACTACCCAACAAAACGAACTAAGAGAGGAAAGATTCCGAGAACTTGCAACTTTTTTCTAAATCAGGTAAAAATTAGGTAATATGTGTATAATTTGTATAGTAATATTTTTTCGTCGACATTAAATTAGATATTTACCTAAAGGTTTTCAAATATAATTAAGACATGCAATGACAAACTCTTTTATAAAGTCCTTTACAAATGCACGAAAAGATACATTGAATAAAATTAAACATTTAACTTAAAACTTAAGTATGAAAATTATAAAAACATGATCTTTTACAAATATATTAAATATATTCATTTATAATGTCACCTTTACAGTGAGAATGATTATGATTATTAACTTTGTGTCAGAGACAAATTGATTTGCGTACACGTTAAATTATAAGAACCAACCAATCATTTGAATTCCGCGCTGTTAAATTAACGGTAACCGCACATTCACGTTTGATCCACGTCTGCCGCAGCCATGTGTAACAGTTAATTATCAATAGGTAGTACGTTTAGCTTTCTAAGGTGATTCAGCGGTGGCGTAGTAGCAAACTGCCAGTCTCTTCCTAAATATCAAGTCAGTCACTTGGTGTGCGAGTGGTGCTCATTTTGCAATAAGTTTTTGTTGTTTCACAATTTTTTTCAATCAATTACCAAAGTGATGGCGTCAATGCCATATTTTGTTAATACGGAACAAAGACATTACAAGAAGGATACTCGGTTTTTATTGGATTTATACACAATAACGTATGATAACCATGAATCAGTTGACAACATTTGTTGCCTTGTAAGTTTGCATGTTGAGATTGTTGTCTACGAACGCATACATAATTATTATGGGAATATTTTAAATGGAACACATCTTGACCTTGCCCTAAATGTCAATTTGACAGGAGTTGACAGGACTGCATCCATTTTTTGTTTACTTACGTTTTACAGTTATCTTTGTTCAAAAGCTATCCGTGCCATATTATTGCCAAAATAAAGAAGACTGATTAGTTTTAGTTATGTTTGAAAATTTAGTAACAAATATTCGAAGGAAATTTAGCAAACCATCAGATGAATTTCGCGAAAAAGCAAATCTAGATACGAAACACGATCCGATAGCTGTAGAAAAGTCTGGATTCAAAAGGAGTTTGCATCTGTTTAAGACTAAATTTCTTAAAGGCGACCATGGCCCTTTCAATATAATTTCAGACAACTCGGAACGTACAGTTTTAAGTCCGAGAGCTATAGGCACAGCTGAGTGTGCTCTTACAGAAATTGAATGGCCAAATGTTACTGACAATAATCCTAATATCTTAGAAAAATTTACAAGAATCGTTAACATCACCGAGCCATATGACAGAAATGTATGCCGTCTAATACTTTTTGTTCTATGAATTTAGTCAAGCCATAAAAGTAATTAATGTATTATTTCATAAAATGCTTTACTTAAATAGACTACTAATTGGTTTTAGAAACGCAATGACAGAGAGGAAATCAGAAGGCGATTGGCTATGGGAGCTGATGCAGATGAGTATTATAGCATGGGCTATACAGATCGGCCAGGAAAAAAACCAAGCTTGCATTCTAGACTACAAAGTGGTAAGAATGGTTGTAGTTCATTTCTTTCTGGGGTGAGGTCATAGAAAGACTAACATGTAATATGTAAACGAAGTATATAGTTTCTTATCTAGTATTTTGTTTTTAGGTTATTCTAACAGTTCATTAGTAGAATATTTTGACTAACAACTTCATAAACATAAATTAGTATCTTCTTACCTATTCAAGACTTACTCCATTCCAGTACGTCGACTTGCTATTGACATCCGTCAAATTGAGGGGGGGGGGGGGGTAGGGGTACTACCCCTTAAAACGAAAAACTGCAGTCTCCCCTTTTCGAGTTTTTTAATTTTTAATTCTTTGGAATTTTTTCTCATTTTATAGATTAAAGTTAATAATAAGTGTAAAAAACAAGGGGGATCCTTTGGAGGGAAAGGGGGATTCTCCCCTACGGAAGGGAGGAAATCCATCTTCATCCGAAAAAAAATATGGGAACTGATTCAGAGGGATTTCTGTATCTATTCTGAGACTGCAAAGTCTCCGGTGCTGTGGGATGAGCAGCCATCTATTCTCGCCTCTGGCTCCTATGCATCTCTGGCTCTATAAAAACATTCTAGGGGCAGGAGAGACTCATACCAGGTCTAGTCAGGGTCAATCAATTCGGTTCTTTGACATAAGTTGAACCTAACCTATTTTATTTGTTATCTACCATAATAGGTACTGTTAAAATAAATGTTGAAACTTTACATGTGTGCTTATAACAATGTAACATTTCTGTAAAAAATATCAACCCCCAACTCGACGAACATCAATGGATAGCTATGCCTGTAGGTCCTCAACTTTTTTTTCTCCTTATCCCAATTTACTCTTCCCTTTGTCCCAAAAACAATTAATTCCATGAGAGGGTTAGTGTGAGCCAGATCACTGCCCATAAATTAAATAAATTAAATCAGCCTATAAATCCTTTAGCATTTTAGACTGGGCACACCCACAATAGAATTGGAATAAATATTGAAAAAAAAAAACAAAAACCCAACATTAATTTTTATAATTTTCATATACATGACAAATATAATGACACTTGAAATGCCAAAATCTATCAAGCCGTTTAGGCTACAGAGTATGATAAATGTATATGCATACAAACATTCGAAATACATAACCCACCCTCTGGTGCAGTCGATTAAAAAGCCTGTAGGGATTATATGTGTATTTAAAAACAAACAACAATACTATACTCGTAATCTCATAGTTACTAGTATGACATTATTGTATTGTTGCATGATTGGTCTATGAGTTATATTAATGGATTAAGGTCATTGAGATTTACTAACTTTTTTGTGTAATTAATTTACTTAGTTTAGAACTTTGATGTTTACTCATTGTAATTGTAAGATTTCATTATCTTAATAATTTGGGTTTTGGTCCCAGCCTAGTAGTTACAAATTGCATTCTTATTCATATTATTATAAAATCTGTTATTTATTACTTTTTGTAGAATGCAATTTGTATATGTGGATAATTATAGTGTGATGTTTTTATATGTGTTATGGTGTGTGGTACAGGGATGAATCTACAAATATGTTTTATGAATGAAACAGCATCTGACAATGAATCTCAAGCATCAGACTTAGAAAAAAATTTCAATAATACAAAAAGTTTGTCACGATCAAGCATTTTTAGCAAGTCTAATTACAATCACCCATACCAAACGAGGCCCCTATCAGTAAACATCACAAAACATGACAAAATCAGCACTGTACAAGGTGGTAAGTATATCCTGTTTACTGTTTCTAATCATTTGGTAGTGTGTGCATTGATTAACCACAGTTAACTGGTAACTACTATTATTTTGTTGGTCGTTTATATCTAAAGTATTAAAAAAACTCACTAATTACTTACCCTATGGTATAATTATATTCTTTAAATAGTTTATTGATTCAACTTAGAACTGATTTTTATTTCTTAAGTATATATATAATCAAATAAAGTGGCTGTAGGTTCTTTATTTTATGTAAAGTTTTAATAGGGCTGCCATCTGTCGGGGTTTCCCCAGATTTCTGAGTTTAGAGAGTGTCTAGGGAGCGTCAGGGTCGGGGGGTCGTCTACTCGTCTTTAGATGTCCTTTCTAGGGTATACCTGGTTCCCCGGCTATTAGTACCCGAGACGGCGTGCGGTTTTAGTCGGTTCGTGTCCGACATGCCACCCGGGCTTCCCGTACGGAAAAAAAAGGGAGCGTCAGGGCGGGGTTTCAGGTTAAACAGAAACAGAAACAGTATATAAAAATTAAATTCAATTTCCAAGAGTACAGCTGCTACAATTTTTACAAATTCCTTTTAAAAAGAAAAGTATTTTAAAAGCTATCGGAAAAAGCGAGAAATTCAAAAACTTGAAAGTAAAACAATGCATTAGGTTAATGAAAAAGCTTAAGTGCTTAAAAATGTTAGAGTTCAAAAATTTATTTTATGTTTGGAAATAATTTTGTCTAATAAGTTATGACTTTTTTTACCATGTAGAATAAGTTTTAAAATGGCCATCAATTAAAAGATATTATTTTAATTAAGTTTAACTCTTGTAACAAGAGGCATTTAGAGAAATTAAAAGTAAGACTGAAGACTTATGGAATCTCTTATATAAGTCTAAGATCTCTTTGAGTATATTTTTTGTTTATGTTTTAAGAAATGGATAATGTAAGAAACTACGTGTGAGCCGGATCCGATCCGAACCCGTGAAAATACGGATCTAGAAATGTCAAGCTGAATTCGGATATTCGCATTTTGCATTACGCCCGATTTCTGATTCATGATTACGGATTTGACTGACTGACTGACTGAATTTGTATATTGTTCGCGCACTGTTGCGATATCTGATTCTAATCCATGGGTCACCTTTAAGCATATATCATTTTATGCGGAGCCATAGCAGAGCGTTCACGTTGTTGCTTATGAGTCCTTTTGATCAGCGCCAACTTTTGTGAATTCTATTGTACGTACGAACGACACAGAAGAAGTATAGAATTCTGGGTGGGTTCATACAAATAATAGTATGGCTACTTTGGTTCGTCAAATAATCTTCTCCGGCATGGATCTCCATGAATCTTGAATCATGGAGATCCATCCGTGAATCTTCACGGATAACTGAAAGAAATCGGATGACGGAAGTCAGATCTAGTGCGTAAGCTACCATAGAAATAGCTCAACAACTACTTTGGACGTATTTTCACGGATTCTGATCTGACGTAGTGCGAAACTGGTCTTAGTTTATACAATTTGTTTTGTTGTTTTACTTTCTAAGAAGACCATATTTAGCTTAAGTTTCTGAAAGATATTTTATGTTCAAAATATGACTGCTGATGAAAACTTTAACAATGTGTTTATTACTGTTTTAAAAGAGTAAAAAAACGTAAGACTGCATACTGAAGTCTCTTAAAAGTTATAACTTCAAATTTTTTTTGTTATGTGTGTATGTTTTTAATGTACTACAAAACTTAAAATTAATAAATTATTTAAGACTATTTGACCATTTTTTTTATAATATTGACTAAATATAAAAAAAAACTGTTGACATGTCCGGGTTCTGAACTTCAAAGTCCGGGGATTTTACTCTTTTTGTCCTGGTTGCCAAATTTTAGAAATGGCAGCCCTAGGTTTAACCAATGCAAAAACCTTCAAGTCTAAGAATTCTTTATAAATGTGGAAAAATTGTTATTGTTGCAGGTGCCAAGCTCCGCCCTACGTCACTATCATTAAAGAATACGAAATCAAGGTCATCACATTCCCTGGGACACATTGAGATTAAAGAGTCGGATTTCTATGTACTGCAGGCAACCCTACAGACTGAAGCCAGGATCGCATTAGCACAAGCTAAAGAAATGGCTCGTATACAAATGGAGGTAGGGTTTTTATATTTTGAAGGATGCCAACGTTATATTTATCTAAGAAATATAAATCAACCTGAAAAACCGTGCGAGAGATTTTAATACTCGAGTTTTAGTTTCGAGTATAATAAAGTGAAGTATTTCGCATGAAACGAATACACCTAGTGTTCGTGTTTTATGCGAAATACTTCTTTATAAATTAAGGAATATAAAAAAACAATCAAACGTGTCTAAAAAACTTATAGATGTACAAGCGGTTGTTAAATAAAAAAAAAGTTATAAGTTTAATAATAAAATATAAAAAAAAGAAATGAAAATGTAATAATATTTTTAATAGACTTCAAAGAAAGGAGTTTCTTTACACGAATCGTACATGTGAAGTTATATTATTTTCTTAACAGTAATGGACTGACTTTTATTGTTGAAATTGTATCATTTTAAAATTAAATTGTATTATTTGGTAAATTATGTGTCGATCCACAATATTTATGAGTTTTGTTGTTACAGCGCGAGCGCCGTAACAGACCGGTATCGCCGGTGACAGAGATGCTCCAGCGCAGTATGGCCAAGGCCAACGCACCTCTCGCGCCAGACCGACGTCGCGTGTCGCGGCAGCTGCTCACAGACATGAACATTGCACAGTTGCAGGTAAGTCTAAATCAGTCTTGTTGGTCTCAGAATCTGCCATATCACTTATTTTCCGGGGAGTGATACGACGGCCTTACAGTAAACCGGTGTTAAGCAGTTCTTTCGTTAATTTTCACCGAGTGTGTAAGGCTACCGGATCCCAAACCCACCCCTGATTCTGGGACGAGTTACTGAAAGGGTGGCAATGAAAAAAAAAAAAAGTTGAAACTGACTGTTCAGGAGCTACTTGTAAACTCGTTATAAGTCCAAAGTAGAGAGGAGTGCTTTAAAAAAAAAATGTCTGATGATGAAGCCAAGAGGTGGAACTATTTTTAACTTATTCGGTTCGCCATTAAAGCGTGTGTTTTTGTTTTTCTAATTTAAAGTAAACAAAAATGTTCATTTGTTTGTATATACGGTATGGCGAATAATGGCTGACTGCAATCCAAAGTACTTTTGGTGTAGCTAGTATTATTTTGTACCGACCTATAGCCATTACTACCAGGCAGGCTGTGTGCTCATTTGCAAACCTAGCCGTTCAAACAAAAACCGGTAACTATTTACGGAAAAAAATCCGATGCATTTTCATATCAACATAAATATCCTAAAGTTCCCTTAAAATGAAAACGTTATTATATATACATATTAACATAAATACGTAATAATAGTGTAATTAGTAGTTTACGAGACTAATGTGTGCTGTTCTGTTAGTTTAAAATTCCACCTCAATTCATTACATTCTTAACAAACTCCTATTTGTATATAATTAGACTTAGAGACTACATAATATGCAAAAATGAACACGGATAAATCTACTCGGTGTTGCTTTTGTTTTCTGCTTAAATGCTTTATTATTCAGATTACGAACAAAAAATATTTTATGCTACTCTAAATGTCTAAGCAATATATAAAAACTAAGTAATGTTGGTATGAGTAGGTTTCCGTGAGTTGTATACTCACGGAAACCTACTCATACCATTCTCCATTCATTATTCTTATGAATTTGAATTCATAAGAATAATGTAATAATTCATAACCAAAATCTAAGCGTTGATATAGCTCTTATTTAACATATTTAAGCAAACCTTTATTAATTAATTACAAAAGCGCGTATGTAAAGAAAATACATAATTTGGTATATAATTACTTGTCAACCAACAACTCTTCAATGACATTCAATACTTACCTACTTTTATATCATTTCGCTCGGGCAGCTTATAAAAAAAGGTGAAGACCGATCTAACGAGCACAAACACAAGTGGACGTAATAGATGTTCCTCATCTATTACATTCCCTTGTCTTATAATAAGAGGAGTTTCACCCGTACGCATCACGAAATCATCATCAACAGCCTTTAATAGTCCACTGCTAGACATAGGCCTCTCCTTAGAAAGGAGGCTCATTGCAACAATACATAATATTGCATTGTCACCGCAGTTACATCAATATTCCAACCTTGTAGTGGGAGAGCCATGCTTCAGCACAAACGGGCCGGTTCGACCAGAGTGATATCGGCTTTTCATAGAGTGAGACAGTTACCGAAGCCCAAAAACTCCCGGCTACTCCTGATTTTGAACGGAATAGACTCGAAGAGCGTCAACTTACTTGTGACTTTTGAGTTGGTGGTGCCCATCGGCGGTAGTCACTTGCCTTCGCGTAACCCGCCTGCTCCTTTTCCCCAATACCATAAAAAATAAAACTTGAGCTCAATCACTTTGATTTGACCCACACTAACATACTAAAAATGCTGCTTCGCAATTACTTTGTTCAAGATGAAGTATAATATTACATTTATGTCCATAGGCATGTCTCAAGAACTGTAACTGTGTTATTTTAATCATGTTTCTTTAATGAATATTCATGATTATAACAATATGCTGCCTCCTACTTACAATATTCAAATTGTTACGTTATTGTGTTTTAGTTGTATGACTCACTGAAACTACCTACAAATTGTGGCACGTTCTGTAATAAGATTAAGTTATTTAAATATAATAAATTTAACTTAACTTAACTGTATGTTTGTAATACGTAAAGTAATTTATAATATTATTTTTAATGCACATTTTTATCAAAACTCTAGTTGACCTTGTACAAGATCTGTTTCGCCGAGATCTGAGTCACGAACCATTCATACAATGAATTTATTCAACCACAATGACTATTGTGTAAGGCCTTTGTGATTTTGTTTACTGTCCTTATTTTATGTATAGGTATACTCAAATAGGATGTTTTGTAAATGTTGTCAAATAATTGATAGCGATGAACATAGAATAGTAGGATGGTTTTCATTTTATAACTGAATGTTTAAGGCCCGTATTTTAAAAGACGTCTCAAGTGTCGGTTGAACTCTGATTGCCTGAAACTAGTTTTAAGTGCAGATCAAATCTTAAGTATCGATCTTATTATAGAACGCGTTTTAAGTTTTACTCAGTTGAAACTAGTTTCAAGTATTGATTTCAACTTACAGTCTGTTCTCAATTACGTTTTCGCATGATTGACATTATTATTCCGCATTACGCAGCTAATTATTTAAAAAATATTTTTCTTTAACAAACATAATTTCTGTGAATTTGTATATAATATACTATTAGCTAGTGTAGCAATGTTAACATATTAATAAGCTTGTTGTTCGTTTAAAATTAAATATAATAAATATTAAAATAAAAATGACTAGCTGTATGAATAGGCTATAACGGAACGTTAAAGTTATTTATCAACACTTGTCATGTTGAAATATCAAACGATGTTTTTATTTGATATTTCTGAAATTTTATATTACTATACTTTTAACATAAACCAAAAGGTTGTGGAAATTTAAACTGGTATTGTGTGTGTAAAATGTGAATTTTGGTGAATTGCATATCAATTAAGGTAAATTAAAGTGAAGTTGATTATAGTATGACAAGTAATTCTTTCGTAAATAAAGTAAAGTAAATCTTTCGTAATTATTCAAAAACAAATCATCGTAAAACACATTCATTTCCCCTAATTCCCCATTCATTGCCCTAGAAATCACCGCTTGAGACTAGTTTCAGCTTGTCTCACGTAAACAAAGATCACAGCTGTCAAAATCTATACCTTAGTAATGATTTCGGCATAAACATCGTTCTAAAATAAGCTATCACTCACTTGAGTATGGAGTGGTGAATCTCGTTTTAAGTGACGTTCAATAATAAAATCTCTACTTAAAATTAGTTTTAAGAATAGATTCACGACTGTGACACCTTTTAAAATACGGGCCTAAGAAATGCAGCTTGTAATCTTACCTAATTTATGTAAACGAAAGTGCGGTAAACACGGAGTAACTGATTCTTTTTACGTTGTTACGTTGATTGATCAATAAAGGTAAAACTATTAAACTGTACAGAATACGAAGTAAATTCATTAAAAAGTATCTCAATGTAAAATTTCAATCCTATTTCGATTACAAGTAGTGTTAATTCTTTATAGTTTTTAATATTAATATTTATGATTGGATTATTAAAAAATCATGACAATTTTGGTTGTAAAAACAGCATCTTGACCGAGCATGCTAATATTTACAATAGGCCAGGAAAGGGACATTACATAACCTTTGTAAATCTCTAAGATACTTGTCACTGTTAAACTACTGGAACATTAAAGATAATGATAACCTCGCACATTTCATAGACACATTAGGCAGAGCCTGTACTATGGTAACCAAACTGCTGATAATCACACTTAAATATTTCTAAACACATATTTATTATTGATAATTTTCAGCCAGGCACAGAACAAATGATCATGCTTATCACACAATTATTTGTCCTAAGTGGGGAGTCGACCCCACGACCGGCTTAGCTTTTCTCAGGGTCACTAACCACTGGACCATCAGGCCAGTCAAAACATACTTATATGTTGTTTTTTACAGGTAATAGTAAACGAGTTGCACTCTCAAATTGAGTCTCTGAACGAAACACTTGTGAAGCTATTGATGGCACGCGACGAGCTGCACATGGGCCAAGACTCAATGCTGGTCGACATTGAAGATCTCACGCGCTATCTGTGAGTGCTACCTTCGTAAAACATAATATGTACGATTGTGTCTCTGACATGTCTGTCTGACAGTTGACTGCACGGATGGGGAAACCTCGCTGCTTCCTATTGCGCTAAGTGTTGTGGTTTCAATCCCACATGGGACAACAATTTGTGTGATCCACAAATTGAGTCTGGGTGTACTTTGTGTCAGTTTTATATATGTCTGTAAAGTGCCTCGCAACATAAGAAATATTCCTAATGCGAGAGTTGTCTTTTTACACGAAAAATAATCATTTGGCAGATGGATGACGTAGATTTCAAATCATGTTTTCTATTCATACTTTTTCATCATATGGTAGGTGGATGACCAAGATTTCAAATTATGTTTTCTATTCATACTTTCTAATCATATGGTTTTCAATATTTTGAAATTGCAAATACCAACAGATGAAAATTAACATCGTATTTTTTTTTAAAATTAGGTAACGATTGCAATATAATGTCATTGCAACATGCATTGTGATTATCTTATAATATAACTATTGTATACGTATAAATCTCATATAGTAACTCGACATGAAAAATAAACAGTAATTAAACCTGTTTGTTTAATGGTCACGCGAAAATGCATTGACGTTATTGGGGCGGTAAGATCCTCCATGGATTGGCACGAGAGGCATCACGGAACCCTCTCATACCGGCTGACGCAGGTAATCACCGGGAAAGGATCCTTCGGAGACCACCATTGCGGTGGTCGGACCGTTTACACGGCGCTCCACACGTTGGCAGAATGCCTGGCGTGGGTGGAGCAGAGGCGTGACTAGGTGGTGGCAATCGGAGTAGGAGTCCACTCGCTCGTTATTATAATTGCCTCCATGGTACGGAGCGAGAGTGCTTGGAACTCCGCCGTCTCCTTCTTCGAGCAAGATATGCTTGCGAACGAGATGACGGAGCTGGACCGGGAGAGGTTTAGAACTCTCCCGGCCCGTCAGGCTCGGGAACGGGACAGATACCGCAGACGACTCGGACACCGAAGGTCGCAGAACGACCTCCATAAGCGTAGGCCTGGTGGGTGACAGGTGAGGCCATCTGTCACCCTAGTAGAAGCAGGCCGGGGTGGCAGCGAGACGCGCTGCGCAGCGTGCGCGCCCTTTCGGAAGCACAAAGGAACCTGGGGGCTCCCACTCGGGGTACCAGATATTTCCTTTCTAGGGTATATCTGGTTCTCCGGCTACTGGTACCGGCGTGCGTGCAGTTTTTGGTCGGTTCGACTCCGAAATAATCACCCCATAGAAAAAAAGGGTCTCGAAACGTTTATAATTTTCAATATCAACAACTTTTTTACTTTTTTATTATTCTGAATGTAGGGATCGGGATTGCAATTCATGTGATCAACGAACCGAAGACATCGATCTTTTTGAAAACGAGGCGGTATACAAAGTAATTTTACATAGCTTAATTTCAGTAATCAGAAGTCCTAAATATGTAGTATTAGATTTTTAAAATAATACGTCAATTTGGATTTCTCAGTAAATTGAAGTGATTAGAGTATGTAGACCAATATATAGTTCATAGCGACCTTGAAGTTTTGATTAATTTATCTAGAAAAAATCACAAATCAAAATCATAAATCTTGAGGCAGTTTTTTATTAAATAAAAATCATAAAAATTTCCAGTGTAGAAATCATAAATAACGTTGTTTTACTGCATAGTGTTAACATAGGTATACACAATCACACATATGTGTTTGTTTCTGAACTGTGTATAATTACTTGTATAAAGTAGAAAAAGTTTGGGCCTATGACAAAGCATACACTCATTTAACTAAACTTTTCAGTTTAACTAAAAATTTTGTGAACTGTGCTCCTTGTGAACTTACAATGTCATAAATCACCTTACTCAGTGCAAAAATGATAATTATTAAGGATTGAAAACATGATCCTCTTTGATCTGTAAGACAAGTATTGCCTTATTATTAGTAGATACTACTATAATTGTATGTTTTGACTTATCCATATTCATTTACATCATTGGCCTAAATTTTGATGATTTTATTTCAGAAGTAATTTTAAATTATTATATCAACGAATACGAGCTAACTAAACACTCCAAAGAGTATTATGATATTAATTTTAGCAATTAATAACTTCGCGATTTTAGGAGCTAATTTTAGGTAAAATTAAGTAAATTCCCGGCAAACTGTGCTGCCACTTGAGCAGATCAAACCATGCTCAAGTTGTGGCCTCAATTTTAGTCATAGCCTCCTTTAACCATATCGGAAATACTTACTGTTATCAACTAACGTCTGTGGCCCCGATAATATGACAATGAATGAATAATGAATTCTCTCCGTGCCTTGTATCTGATTGTCACAAAGTCGAGGTCCTACAACATAAAAAAAAACAGCACAAGTATCAGTCAAGTGCAGTATTTACATTGTCAGCCTGTCAATAAACAAATTATTCAGTTTAATGAAATCTAACTTTTATGATCAAATATTTAATAAATTGTTACGTTTTTATCTTTTCTTTGAATAATTTATACTCTTACACATTACGAATATTCTTGTCAACCCTTCCACTCCTTCCAGTTAAGCTAAATACTTGTGTTAGGAGTGGGTTCATGTTGGTAGTGGGTGGGGTTCGAACCCTTGTTCGCAAGTCTAACTATTTTTAGTTCATTTAAACATTCAATATAAATGTATGTATGTTGTTAGAAATCATTTAAAAATAAGTAATAATATTTATTCTTTTTTCTATAGTAATGAATATTAAATTAAAAATAGTATTGTTAAGTAGTATTTATATACTATAAATATTAAAAAAAATATATTAACAATATTTTTAATATTTCAGGGGTGTGAAAGAGCAGACTAAGAAAACCAAAGGCACTTCTACAACCAAAACGGGAATTAAGAGGCTCACATCTTTAGTGCACAAATAAGTACACACAATTTTAATATTAGGCTTATTTATAACTGCGATTTATTTAAATTAGTTAATGCAATGGGTGTTCAACGTAACATTTTATGCAGTGCGAATGTTGGTAGACAAATGATTATAAATATCTTTACTATAAATGTAATAAGTCAAATGTATACAATTATGAATCTTAAAATATAGAACAAAGTATATACCACAATTCGATATGCATGTTCCTTTTCAATGTAAAAACTAACTTTTTGTCACAAAAGCCTTGACATTTGAAATATCATAAAAACAAAAAGATATTGTATATCGAAATTGCTGACTGTGAATATTTTAGTGTTCGCTGAAACCAATTTTCGTGGCTTTTAATTCTTTTTAAAAATTATTTATTTCTGCAGGAATTGCTTCCTTTTACCTAATGTAAACAAACATATACCTAAAACCTTTGATCGCAAACAATATGTGTGGCCATTTCAAAAGCTTTTATGAATAAAGAAATAAACCAGTAAATGTTTCTCAATATTAGTTACAGATGGACAAATTCAGTTAAAGTTATTTATTGATTGTTTATTATACTGTTACCTTCGCACTGCAAAATGCAATATTCCTAAACATTTAACTATTGAAGTCTTTTTAGACAGCACACTTAGTTACCTGTCCAGGGCCGCGGACTTCAAGCAAGTGTCAACGTATGAAATTATCGATTATTTTGATCAATGCAGCTATTTTATCGTACATTTAAAACATAAACTATAATGCAAATATATTTAAGGATATAAACGTGTTATAGAAATAATCGATAGTACTCTATTGCTTGTTTTGGTGAATAATTTCAAATACTTCAGTTGCAGTAATTATAGTTTACAAATGATCGTTGGGAGGTATTGTAATCCGTCCTTCTTACTTTGACCAACTTATAATTGATTCATAGAAAGTGAAAGCTGAAGTAACGTGAAATGTTCAACAGAATAGTTAGAGATAAGAGGTTTTCGCATACGATTTGCAACATCGCCGGCCTTGCCATGTTCTCACCGCATGGTATTCCATAACAGTTGTTATTGCATAACATTTGTATATATGGTTCTCTCATTAGTGGAGTAACTCAAACACGGTTCTCACTATTTATAATATTATTATATAAAATGTGTATATCGGATCTACTGTATATTTAAACGATACGTGTCCGCTTTAAATAGAAAGATATTAGCCCACCTAAATTTTATATTTTACAATTATTCGCAGATTAGAAAAATATTTTTTCATAATAGTGCTCATTGTTATCTATCGATGTTATTCTCTATGGCTTTGATACGAGGTAAAAGATAACGAGACAAATGTCTGCATAAATAAGGTTACAAAAGTAACAAAAATCTTTTTTAATACATTTACTTTTACTATTTTTCTGTTTTACAAAGTTGAAAACTCATCAATGTACTGCATACGTACTATATAAAATTATTTTATACTCTAATTATGTCCAAACTTATCTCGTAAAAAAAAACAAATCAGTTATTTACATTATTAAACAGCCCGATCGTTAACAACGCAATGACGTTTTCTTGCCTGTTTTTTAGTTTTCTTAACTGCGGAACCAGGGTTCTCGCGTGAGGCCTTACCTCACAAGTAGTCACTACTACTACTATACGGTTACCAGAATTGCTTTCAACTTTGTCCCCTCACATCAAAGGCATAGAATTTTACTTTTTGTATACTAATATACTCACATATACAGGTAGGCATGTAGAGTTGCACATGCCGTCGATCTTGGATCGCCGTTATCTTATCGGACGCTTGTAATGTACGTACTTTACATACTAAATACTAAAGGAATGCAAATTGAGTCTTAGCCGTGATTGCCATCACAAGCTTTGTAATTTACTACCTAACAACTTCTCAGTCATACATTAGAATTCAAACTCTGTCACTGATCTCGGATAAGTTTAGTCCTAGGTGCTACTTTATCAAGTATTCATTGGGTTTTTACTATCCTATTTGACACTGGTTTTATTAAAAGAAAAATACTCGAATATGTAAAGAAATTAATGTGTTCATTCGCTTGAGGAGGAATATAAGTTTGTCTGGTCCATAAAGCTGTTATTACTGTACAACAGGTAGGTAAATAACAAAGAGGAGCAGGCCTATGGGTGTAATTTCCATAATAAGCTAAATCTTTTGATGTTATATTACCCGGTTTATGATATGTAGACAAAATCAGAACTTCCCTAAGTAATTTATTGTGCAACTTATTGCGTTTTAGTAGTTGCTCATAAGAATATGATGAAACACAAATTTTTATTTTACAACCACCGTTTAAAAACGACATAAGGTAAAAATTAAACTTAAGGTTAAAAAAATTTAGGCAAGTGAAACGAGTTTTTATTTGTTAGGTAGTACTTTATGTATTTGCATTCCACTAAATATATGTATAGTTGGTGTACTTGTAATTTGTTGCGTACTAATAACTGTCGCTCTGATACATAGTTCCATCAACCAGTATATATACTATGGGTCGTCTTCTTTCTTGCCTTATCCAAATAATTTAATCTCGCTAAGCTCTAAGCAATTCGTCGGTGATATAAACATACATATTATTATACTTACATACTTAATACAATGTTAATTAGTTATGTAACTTACCCATCATAAGACTGAGTATCTTTACGAACAAGAGAAATCTCATGGCACTGTACAACAACTGTATGTAAATTTCACAGCTAATTTTATTGCACAATATTTTTGTTATTACCTTTTATTATTATTGAAATATCACCTGATTCCATCACAAAATGTAAGCTTTACAATTGTGACGCCTGTCTATCCACAACTTAATAAAAATACCTGTAATCTATAATATAAATTTATATGAGTTAGATGGCCCTTTCATTGAGACTCGTATTATAATTATACATCACATAGCGAGCGATAGGATCTGGATCGTAATCTTCCTTTCTGAAGCTGTACATTAGGTAATTCATATTATTGATTACCAAATTTCCATATTTATAGACCTGATATAAGGACAAATATTTTAGTCAGGGTCTCGAATATTGAAACTAATTTCTAGTAATAAGACAAATGGAATGTCGGAAAGAGCTCAGTTTTATGATGTCCTTGCTATAACGGGCACTGATATGAGACACCAATGTTATCGGTTTTTAAAAGTATATATTAGGGCTCTAAATCAAAAGTGTATTATATAATAAGTTCTCTCGAAGCAACATCTTCGTTGTTTAATTCCTCTACAATACTATTGTTTACGGCTTGAGATCTCAAGTGTTATTCCTAACATTGTGTACCTATTCTATTAAGTGTATACCTACTCTTTATGTACTTGGGCACTGTATTGTGTTAACTTGTTAAAAAAGGATTGGTTAATTATTGGGTATCTGTGCAAAACCGCTTTTTTATGTCAATGTTTTATTATCTACAGTGTAATGTCATTTGTTAACATCATTTACAAATTAGATAAATATGCAATCAAATTGATAGCATTTCCTGATACCTTGATATGACTACTTCCTCCTCTCCTACAAACACAAACTGTTAAAATCAAAACAATTCCCTCATTGTCTTAAATCTTTAACCTATTCACTAATAAATCTACCTTCCACCTTGACGTTGGTAGGATCATCGATACACGATGGAGACAATAAGTTAAAAGAAGAAACAAATCATTTATGAATTTATTTGCTCTTTTTTTAATTTTTTATAAGACCTCTATGCTGGAAACTCCTTGTGATCATGTTTGAATCTAAAAATAGTTGTACAACAATAATTATAATGATATTTTATTATACTACTACATTGTACTACTTCCTTCTCGAATATACTTACGGTAAGTTTATGGCCATGGCATTTACATTGCCAGCCTAAATAGTACATAATATAATTTAAAAACCAGTGAATATAGTATCTGTTTATAAAATAGTTTTCTGCAAAAATTTAGTTTTTCTAAATTGCCTCTTTTATACTTATCATAACTCAAATTACGAGTAAAAAGTATGACATAACTTCCAAGGGTTGACTGTTTATATACTTTATACGGGTAAGAATTTGTTTCGTTTACATATTTGAATTAGAAGATGTACATACAGTGCCCATAGTTTCGCTGTGCTAGATTTAGTTACCATTATTATTAGTTTTACATAATTTTGTGATTATTACTAAGATATTATGTATAGGCTCACATGCGTACTATGACTTGTGTATCACTCAATCTGTTAAACACAGTCATCAGCATCACAATTATAGTACGGTTACGTGCAGCCCTAAGACTTCTATGTGTTAATTGAGCACTTTCCTTTCCAAATCTAAATTGTATACTGCATAACATATGAAGATATTATTCTATGTAACAATTTTGATATTGCGCCATCTGCGCACACATGATATTTTTCATTCCGTATGTTAAGCTATTGTGAACCACACAATTTATAATCTATGTTTCTATTGTAAAATATTTTTGTATAAAAGCACGTCAATGGTGATGTTAAAAGTATTTGGAAACTGTACCCACTCCTAAATTATGATAATAATTACATTTTATAATGAGGATAACTGACTGTTTAAACGTGTCGTTGTCGGAACATAAATTACATCATGCTTTTTCTATCTAATATATGGATGTTTAAAGGTTTTTAGATATTGCCTATTTCATTGGTTTCTATGCTTCAATGAATATTTAGTTTCCTTCGCTCCGTGTATATACAACTTATTGTGTACATACCATATCTCAAAGTACTACTGGTAAATTACAATTGTTAGCAGCTGCATAATTGAGACCTGTTTTAATGAATTGCAATGTTAAATGATCATAATGTTCAACTGTATGACAAAAACTTAAATGTGTGTAGCTTTCATCATTCAGAGTGAGACAATAATATCAAATATGATGATTTGATATTTTCTACAATTTGCTTTTATAATTATGTAATTAACGGTATTTTGATCGCAACTCTACAATTCATATTTTACAATATGCAGCTGCTTATATTTATTTATCATTATAATACAATG